AATGGAGGAAACTTGTCTTGATCCCTTTGAAATAAGTCTTTGCATCGGATAATGGGGTACAGTTGGCAGGAGACCATGTCCAACTAACAGGTACACTGTTAGACTGGCACAGGACCCATTTATTACACAATTCAGGCAATATGGGTGCCTGGCTTGCTTACCACAGGACTATCTTACCTATTCTCTGTTTGAAACAACCCTAGGTGGAGGAAGCCTGGGGGATGACCTAGGATGTCGTGGCTTGGGAAGAATGATCAACCTTGTTGGTGTTAGCTACCCAAAGATGAATGATGATACTCACACACACATACACACTTCCTTAGCGGGAGCCCCCACGGTGGGGGTGGGTGGGGGAGGCGGCTTGAGATCCCAATGACCTGGTGAGCCAGACCAGAGGACTGCCCATTACCGGAGGGGTCACCAGTGAGGGATGAGACAAAATGGCTTCCAGGTGAACCAAGGCCTATGAGAGGGGATGGTACATTCACACTTGGTTCATTCCATCATGAACTAGGGCTATTTAACAACCCTGACATCCTTTCCAAACACAGCAATGAAAACAGTGCATCCATTGATGACATTGACAGCAGTGATTACAACAAAAAAGCAGTGTATCAAATAGGCAACATAACAATAGTGTTGAACACCATCCTTTGCTTTATTGCAACAAAGAGAGCATGGGTAAGGATGGTCTACAGATTGGTCACCACCAATTTTTTTTTTCCACAAACCAAGTCACCACCTATCACTCATTGTCCCTGTGGCATTTGATAGTTGAGGTTTCGTAACCAAGAGTGTGTTAAGTGTGGTACAACAGGTCATCAAGGAGATGACAACTGTCCAGGTCCAGTCTGCTATTATCACCGCTAAGTCCCTGAAGCTTCTTCAAAGCACTGTATAAGGTACAAGTTTGAAAAAGAAGTATTGGTAATAAGGAGCAAGGAGAAAGTTAGTTTCCCAGAGACAAGGTGTTGTGCCCGTGTGCTGTTCACACAACCAGGTAAGTCCTTTGCATTGGTTATCCTCCAATACTTCTTACACCACTCATTCTACCTTCCTTCACATAAGCTCAACATAGATGATTTGGAAGATCTACTTGGGCAGTTGCCCCATCCATTTCTACTCTTGGGAGATTTCAATGGTTGGCATCAGCTCTGGGGAGACACTGTGCAACCCTCGAGGAAGGGTCTTGGAGTCCTTGCTCTCAAAAGGAGATGCAGTCTTTCTGAACAGTGATATGCCCACACAGTTCCAAATTCTCCATTATTGACCTGTCAGTTGGTTCAGTAGGTTCACAGTTGGATTTTACTTGGTAGGCCATGGAAGATTTATATGGAAGCGACCTCTCTCCAGTTATAATCATGCCTATTCCTAATCCTGGCAACAATACTTCTATACCCGGACATTGCAGACCAATTTATCTCACCAGCTACACATGCAAGCTGATTAAGAAAATTGGTAAACTTCAGGCTGGCATGGTTACTAGAAAAAGAAAATGTCCTCATATCAGCATGGGTTTAAGAAATTGAGATTGACCACAGATGCACTTGATGGAGACTGTTATACTGTATTCCTTTGTATAACGAAGTCTCATGTTTTCTTTGGTCGCTAAAAGGCTTACAATACTACTTGGAAGCATGGCATATTCATGAAGCTGTATGACATTGGTTTAAGAAGAGCATTACCTACCTTCATACAAAGCTTCTTTGCTGATAGGAAACAGTTTCTCTAACTTGGAAGACCAGCTGGAAGGTGTCCCACAAGAGTGTCTCCTAAGTGTGACCCTGTTTGCTATTGCTATCAATGACATCATAAAGGTCGTTCCAAGCGCTGTCTTGTGTAGTCTGTATGTGGATGACTTCACACTGTACTGCTCTGGAGGAAGCTTACAGGATGTGCAATAAATCAGGTTGTGCAGTGAGCAACATACCATGGTTCAAATTTTCTCCAAGTAAGACCATTGTTATGCATTTCCGCAGGAGAGGAAAGTTCTATTCAGGA